AAATTTTATCAAATTGTTTAAAGATACTATGAAGTTTGTAAAAAGAAGAAAAAAATGCTTTAAAATGTTAAAAAATGCAAAATTAAAGTTTNAATTAAAAGATAATTGTTCTAATCGTCTAAATACAGATTATGATAACAATTATTTTTTATTTTCGTTATGGTTATTTTTGAAAATATTATAACAGGAAAATATGAAATTAAGTGAATAAAACAATTCTGTAAATACAAAGAATGTAAACCAATAGTAACTTCGATTTTTCAACTAAAAGTTAAACTTGTACTATAGCTATGTATTATTTTCTACATGCCTTCTAATTAATATGTTTTGGTGTATTTTAACTAGATCATCACTAAAAAAGTAATTATTTTTATCTTTGATAACCCAAATATATACATATATAGTAGAAAACTAGATAAAAAACTATAAGAAAAAAAATATTACCTATTTAAGAATCAACACTACCTATAATTATTTTTTTTCGATATGATGTTGTGTTCTGTAATCTTGGGGAAAACAAGAATCCATAGAGGAGTAGTTGTATACCATGCATGTTTCCCTATAGTATCTGCCCCTAAAAGTAATACATTTTTTTATCGATAAAATCAAAAATTTTAGATTAAATAAAATTGTCAATTAATTTAAGGTTGACATAAAAAAATAAAAATTAAAAATAAATATTTGTATTATTATTCCCTCGATTTGTTAACAGACACGTATGTGTACATGTGTTGTGGATTTATAGGATACACATAAAATAAAATATTATTACATAATGTGGGCTATACGATAACTATTTGATCGAAAAAATAAACAGAAATAAATCGCATCCGTATTAAAGACAAATTTACTGACTAGAAGATAAAAGAAAAAAAACTAAATTAACACAGATTTTTTATTATATTTTGTAGAAAAATCACTATTTATTGACAATTATCTAGATGTTTATTATTTTTCACTTTAGATATTCTGTAATGACACTTTTCTTGTAAAATATGACGACATTAAAAAATATACTTGACAAATATGTAAACTATATGTGAAATATTCTACAGTACAATCACCTTTTTTTGTTAATATATAAGTAAAAAAGAGGTGATAATGCTGACAGCATTATTGTTGTGGAAGGTTTAAAAATTAAAATATTTGGGGTTATTTAAGTTTAATCTATACGCAAAGATAAATCATTGCAAAAAAAACACGATTCTGAGTGAAGTTCGATTAAACATGTTATGAAAAACACCAATAAAATAACTATACTATATTTCACTCATTTTTTTTTTTTTTTTATGAAAATATGATTTATAATCAAAAATATAGGGACACAAATGCAAATTTGTTGCTTAATATTTCTAATATTACAAATTGCTTTGATTTATTTGGTTAATCAATATATGTGATAATGTTTGGGTTAAACCCCTCCCCCCCCAAAAAAAACGTATATACTGTACATATTATAGAAACATCTTAGTCGTTAACTAACGTATAATATCTAATAATACATTTTAATATCAACTTAAATTATTTTAATGATTTTGTTTGTGATGATAATAAGTGAAAGCGTAGTCAACTCAATATCGTATGATCACAGGCGCTTTAAGATAATAACCAAGTATAGTACTTAAACTTGATATAAATTTGAAATTTGACACACCATAATTTTGTGGTATCTCCGTATTACAGTCTTGTTAACACTTAAGTCGTAAATTAGTAAACATACATAAGCATGGGTGGGGGATATTGTCCCTTGGTCTCCCTTGGCTATGGCTCTGTTACCGTAAATGAGTTAAAATTTAAAATTTAAATATTAAGTTTAAAATTTAGACAACACAAATAAAGTAGCGTAACTAATGAGCAATTTCATATTTGCATATCGATAATTTTAGAACACATGTTATTTTTTTGAATGCGAGTTTAATAACATGGTCTTATTATTGAAAATTAATTATAAATTGTAAATAAAAACATTAAATAAGTCTATTTATGACTGGAAATACTCCCAAATCAAATTTATCAATATCCCGTAGATACTATCGCTGATTTACGGTAGAAAAATTATTTTGTATTCGACAACTGTTCCAAACATGAATTTTCTTAGTTTTTATTTTTATACTAATGAAAGAAAGTTTCTGTTTGACTATCTGTCTGTCTGTTCGTGATCTATAGTCGTGCACTGAGAATTGAAAATATACATTAAACAGCGGATAAACGGGGTATGCATCGAAACCGGATTTCTGAAATCCAAACGGAAATTGGATATTGTAGGTAGTTTTGGAATAAGAATTGAATATTTATTGTTGATTTATAGGTTAGCTTTGCGAAACAGATTAAAATAAACCGTTCTGATAACTAATTCGTTAGTCAGAGGTAAAGAAATTCTTAAAAAAAAAAATTACTGGTCAACCGCGGTTAACTGTGATGAAGTCGAAAACACGTTTTCATTTTTTTTCCGTTCAATACTGTGTATGGGCAAAGCCGTGCAAATCAATTAGTATCATTATAATAATTTCCTTATATTTTTAACTAACACGTATACCGGCGTCACGAGTAGACAATTTTGCAACACTCCGCGATTTGGCAATGTAAAGGTATATATATTATAAATGTGTTGGTCAATTATGATAACCATAATAATATTATTTTATTTTTTTATTATATCATTATAATATATTATAACTATAGGTAATATTATTATCTATCATATTATCATTTTATTTACACATATTACTGCGCATGTGCATTTACAACATTGAAAATATTGAAATTTCACGGTAACAAAAATAATTATAATCACCTCTTTCTCAGTCTTCTGTTTGTAGTATAATAGGTATAATGTAACTGATAAAATTACTATCTTAGTTATTATAATATTATTATTTATTCCTTTACATTTTCAAAGCTATATGGGTTAGGAGAATACTAGTACAGCTCTAATCAACATAACCAACATACGCGATAATCTCTCGTATTAACGAAGCATGCGTTCAGACATCATAATATTTTATTGAAGTAAATCATAAGGAAATCTCGACTAACCCACTGCAGCTGCGTTTTTAAGTTGAGTCGAGATTTTACTTAAATTACACTGTAATATTATCATTATTCTCGTAAAACCGTCGTTAGGGTTCACGACTAGTGTAGTGGAATAATCATCGTGAAGAAAAACAAAAATAATACCGTGTACTGCTATACGTAAAACTCTGAAACGAATTAATGCATTGCGTATAGATTAAGTTAACCGATCGTGAAATACGAATAGTAATAATAATTGAAAAATAAAACTGGTCTGTTTTCAATTAGGTAAATTTTTATTGTTACTACTTTTTTTTAAAACAATCAAATACCTACATTATTCCATTACCAAATGTATTTCAAATTAAATTATTTTAAAAAGCGAGTCGACGTAAATGCCAAAGTAGGTAGGTACTCACTTTTGCCTAAAATGCTGATCTAAATTAAAGTATAACAAGATTATTTTTTTTTGTCAGATAAAATTACTTTATATATACTTAGATACGTATAGTGGCTTTTCGACCTATTTTTTCACCGTATGTTTTACGGAGAGTACATCATGTCACCCTATTACCCACGAAAAAAAAAATGTACACCATCCCGTGAAACATGATGCTGCAATTAGCAGTATGCTACGTTAAATTACCGTACTTATATACTAGAGTGACGTAAAAGTGAAAAAGCCATTATTTTCCGGTTTACGATTTTGTGTTTTAATCGTGTAGATTAATTATTTACGATTTGAAAAGATTACGATTTAGCTATGTCTAGTTTAGAGGGTATAATGTTGTTAAACCCTGTGAGGCTGTGACCCTTGTCACTGATAATAATCACTGAACCGTCTGTACAGTTACCACGAGGTTATGTTGAGCGTTTTATCGAATCAGTTAGTGTCAATTTACTGAATTTATATGATATACTATGTGGTATATAATATAATTTCTCGAATATTACAGCTTCGAAGTTCCACATACATATTGTCAGTATACTTAATATTATGAATTTTTAAAAACGAGTGAATAAATTGTTATTAAAAATTAAAAATTAAAAAATTGGTATCGAGTTGAATTATTATTTTTTTTATCATAATTACGTAAATATTCTACTATTTTTTTTGAAGAAGAGTGTTTGGACTTTTGAAGCACACTCAAGTAATATTTATCAAGGATGTTTTATCGACGTCGGGTTTGAATATTTTATGTAATCTGATTTCCCCGTATACATGAGCTAGCTAACCGATACGTGTATTTTATAGGAGAAAAGGAGATTACAGACCATCCGAAACGATGTATAAGTTGTAGCCGTAGTCTTGGATTAACTATTAATAGTATATATTGTGGTGTCCAAATGTGCGTTTTCGATGCGTAGATGGGACAAAAGCCGCTAAGGGGGTTATAGTAAAATAACTGGTGGTGTACCTCCAAAAAAAAAAACCCAGTTTTATTTTTTCATAATAGCTTGTGTATTTATTTTAAGTACAAATTCCTCTACAAATATTTCCGTTTGACGCGGTGCTCTTATTCAAACGCTATATGGTGCCTGCGTTGCGGTTCAAAACACTTTTGCAGGAATTTCTTAATTTTGATTGCCTTCAGAGACACGTTTTTTAAACATTTTTTTATTTACATCTTGGTATCCCGTAATAGTATATTTAATGATCTTCGATTAGAATTAAATTAAAATATTTTATGTAGTAATAAAATTATAATATTTTAACAAAAAAATTACAGTATATTGTAAAATTGTAAAACAGTTATTTTATTGGAAACACATTAGGAAAAAAAAAAACTATTTAATTAGTAACGGTGATGAAGATAAGTGGCTATTATAACCACAGGCGTACGCAAAAAGTGTGCCAGATGTTGCCAATCTCGTGGCCTGTGTACTAAAAATAAAATTTTCTCATTCTGGACTTTGTTTTTTAAATGCCAACTCACGAGGTATAACAAATTGTCATTGAGTAAACAATAAATCAAACTAACCGATAACCACCAACTGTGATAATATAATATTCACCACTGTTTTGGGTTTGAAATTTATTATAATAGTGATAATATTAACTTTTAAAGTTTTTTGTGTTATAATAATTTATCATAAACATATATCAGATCATTTTCAGTTTTATGGTTCTCTATAAGTTAAGTTACATAAAAATATTTTCGTAAAACCTAGGGCTAGTTTCCTAGATTTAAGACCCAAGTTGGTATTAAACAAAATAAATGTTGTTGATTGATATTTTGCATTCATTATCTTCATTTGTAGGAAGAAGGGGAATATAAGACTCACTTATGGAATACTGGCCCATTTTATTTTTGGGACACCTTATGAAAAATTTCTGCTCACGCTTAACACGATAAAAATTGCAAATATTTAAAAGAATGCGTCAATTTTAATTTTAGTTTGTCATTTAAATGTTCAAAACAAAACTGTGGTGGGGGAAATGGTAAAAATTATACAAACAAAAATAAATGGATGCATTTTAATTAATAATCAATACAAACAGGAAAGAATGTCTAAGCCCTTTGCATCTAGAAAAATATGTGACAGGTTGACGAGTATGACCAATTTTTTTTCTAAATCCACGAGGTTACTCGCTGCGATCTTTGACACCGTGGAGTTCAAACAAACCAGGTTTTTTAATTCCACTAAGTGTCCCGATTTTAATACAATTTCGGTAAGTCGATTCGTTCGCTTCCCATTCTTGACAAAAGCGGCAAAACTATTCTTAGGTACGCATAAAAGCTATAAAATATTGACTTACAAAGATTATCCTTATACCATTAGTATATTTTTGCGAAACTTAAAACATTTGTTATAATTAGTAACTTCATATATAATTGGCTATAAAATGGCTATCTTCAAAATTTTTCAAAAATAATAAATACAAGTTATTATTTTAGGTTTTTACCAAAAAAAAAAGTGTATTGAAATATAAATATTTATATTCCTTATTACTACAAATAGTAAAAAAAAAAAAAAAGAATTCGATTACCTTTATTTTCTCCGGAAATATTTTTATTTCATTTTATTTTTATTTATTTAATACGGACATGTCCCGAAGTACAGTAGAATTTAATAAATTAATATGCAGACAATTCAGCGGAATTGAAAATTGGAGTCAGATATTTAAGTATGAGTGATATTTATTAACCAGGTATTAGTGTAAGAATGAAGGGTGGACGTCCGCAAGGCGTATCTTGCGGTTTATAGGATTGTTTTAACTATAATTAGTGGTGTGCAAAGGGATTGCAAAAGTGGTGGTAGAGCGGGTGGGATGTGGAGAAACTCGAAAATTGATGCAGGAAAGGAGCGACGGTGCATCCACCAATANCCTGTATAAATAGGTTACCAACAACTTTATAAAACAAAAATTTTAGTAGTCTACCTAACTCTCCGGTTGTCATATTATTTAATCAATACATAAGGTATAAAATATATACTTGGGGAGGGGTGAAAGTGGTACAGTATCAGATGTACGATAGTCAATTCGTGAAATATAGTTATAGAAAATAGAATAATAAACTGATACTAAAAAATATGTAAAAATGTAAATAGATATAAAAAAAAAAAATATAAAAATCCCAAAAGCTTAATAAGTGAATTAAATATTTATAAATAATATATATTATGACGCAATAACATTGCAACTGAGCACATATGGCCAATATTCGATTCTGGTCAATCGAATAAATCATATTGCAAAAAAAAGGTAGATAAATAAAAAGTATTTTGTATGAAAATGTGTTGTCAGGAATAGCGAACAGTATACTGAATAGTAAATAGACATCATTCGTGGGGAATAAAGGTTAAGATAAAGAAAAAACAGTTTTTTTATATTAAAAGTGATGATTTTTGAATATTTAAAAATAGTAGCTTTCAAGAGACGAAACAAAAATACATCGAACAAGGATAAAACCAATATTATTTTTGTATAATAAATAACTAGATCCCTCCAGAATCTGTTATTTTAAACTTTCAATATTTTAAATAGGATCGGACGACTATAGGAGTATAATATTATTAATACTTTTGGATTGTATATTCACATTAAAGTACATTTCATAAAAATACAAACCACATTAATGGAATACGAATAAATAAAATATTATAATTCACAAAAATATTTCATGTGATTGCTAATTTTTTGGATTCTGAGCGAAGCGACTACTACCGTGGTTTATGTTTTTTGATTTTGTTCGTCTGTAAACATTTTTTCGACCAGAAATCTTACTCTAATTTTATTAATTTCACGAAGATATTGTGAAAAAAAATTTTGTTAAGTTCATTTATTAGGGTTATTATTTGTTGATTAACTTTGTATTACTAATGAAAACCGGGGTAGAGGGAGAAGTTGGGAAATGTAAATAATATTTACGCAATAACAGTTTCTGATATTTTAAAATTTGTATTTTTTGTTGTACCTAGTTCAGTGAAAAATAATCGTAAAGACCTAATATTTTCATTGGTTACTTATATATTAGCATTTTTTAGACGTGGTATCAACCCATTAGACTTGTCTGATAATCCGTTGTTTTAAATACCTGTTTATTTTGCTTTAGGCCTAAACTTTATTTAACTCATAACTTTTGACTTATCTGTTATTTTCGTTGCTTCGGTTGTACGTTTGTGCGATACAGTAAATCAATACAATTTGTTTGATATTAATATCACTATTTTGGAAAAAAAAGTGATTTTTTCTGGTTTTTTATCTGTATCCTTTATATATGACGTAATTCGTTAATTGCCCGAAAAATGGTAATTTTTTTATAGATTCAAATTAATTTTAATTTTAACTAATGGTATGTAGTAACGATTTTCATTATCTCCCTAACCATTAACTCCTAACCTAACCTATCTGCATATTATTACGTGAAATAAACCGTTTTTAATTATTCCAATTGGTTTTAAAACATACCTTTTTTGATTAGATATTCCGTACTTGCCAGTTGTTACTAAATGATTTATTCCAGTTTAATTTCTTTGAAGTTTTGGCATCTCTTATTCGAGCACTACGCTATTACCGCTCTCTTAGCCACTCTCGTTATTTTGTCTCTTTTTCCTTGTTACCGGTCGTCTCACTAACTAATTTAATTATGGAGTGAAAAATTGATCGAAATCATGGATATGGCTTGATAAATTTAAACTGGAATAACTGTCAATGTATTGCGGTCTTTTTCTTAAATAAACGAAAAATTATATTCTATTGGTTTGATTTTCAATCTAAAGTTACAAAGAAAAATTGATAGACATGACAGTGAATGGTTATAATTCGATACCATCTTATAATAATTGTTTTTGAATTATGTACAGCGGTTCTGGGAAAAGTACGCGATAATTTTATACACTGGATTTGAATGTCATCGGAAAAATAAACAAATAAATTCCAATAGAAAAATGAATCTCCAATATATTGTTTTAATTACAAACTTTCATAATAATATTACGATTGATTTACAACAATGGAATTGTTTTAGTGATACGATCATTTTTGAAATAAGCATTACCTACTTAAGGTTAAAAAAATTTGTCAGAGAGGAGAATTAGTCAATGGATTATTATACATTTCTTCAAAGATACAGTTTTAACACTTTGTTTGTTTACATAATGTTTAATGTTTATTGTTAATAATGTTGCCAATATCAAGTGTTGTAGCTTTAAATTATTTTATTTACAACTATGTTGACGAAAATAGCATAATATCGAGCTTTATAAAATACTGATTAGTATTTATTTATTGTTTAGATACTTGAATATTGAAAGCCAAAGTATAGCGATGCGTGATAGGTGAGAATATTTAATTTTAACGAACCGTTTGATTTACCAAAGTTTCGTGTAATTTAATATTTTTAGTTTCTTAATTATGATTTAATCATTTAAAATTATTTAGATGTCTTTTGAGCTATTTAAGAGATAATTTATTTAACTACCTATTGCACATATTGTAGACTTCTTTGAATACTTATTCACGTTTTTTTTATTACTCAATACTTTTAAATATATATATTTTTAAAGTTTTCAATTGAATTTAGTTTAACAAATCGATACATTTATTATTCCCACTAGACAGACTGACACTGCAATACTAAAACAAAAATACTCGCGTGGTCACCTACCCGGACCCCTATCTTACCTGGATACTTTTGACACCTGAATCTTGACAGCCACGTCACGCTCGTAAAAGTCCCAATGCGTGTCATCTAATGTTCTGAAAACTTTTTTGTTTGACAATATTATACTCACCATAGATACTTTTTTCCACGTATTATACAGACAATAGTTTTATTAGTTTTTGTTTACGGTAAAGTTAGATGAATTGGGTACTAAGTACATAGGTACTGTTTTTATGAAATTAACTATATGCTATAGACAGTGGTTTGAAATCACTACATTCAATGGAGTGCACTACCATAATCATTGCATTCCTAAAAAAAGAGTTCCCTATAATTATCGCTACTTTTAGATTCTGATTAGGGTGAGGAATGTATTGACTTTACAATGATGTTTAATTTGTTTTTTTTTTTTGTGATCTGTGAACAACTTTTCTACCAGTAATTTTGCTCTGATTTTCCCAGAAGTTTTATAATGAATAAATATAAAAAACCGGTAAAAACACGGGAAAAACAGAAAAATAGATACAATATTAAACAAATATTATTAAAGAAAACATATAATGCATATGTTTTTATTATTTCACCATAATATAACATATATATTGTTTAAAAAGCAACACTATCAACCGTACGTCGCTCAGAATGGTTTATTCGTTAGCAATGGTTAATCGTTGCGTACAGATACACATTAAACTCCCCTAATTCCTACCTACAACAGTGGTCCACCCACGTGCAAAGTATGACCATCTTTTTTTTTTAGAAATATAAGGCCTTAAAAATTCATTTTTTTTTTAGAAGTAACTCGTTATTTTTTTCTTCACAAAAAAGTGAACTTTTTTAATAATATTTTGACTCTTGATATTTTCTGTTTATGAATAGGTCTCACTAATTATTCATGTACATTTTACGTTTCTGATAAGAGAAAACGATAAACTATAATTTTAATATTTACAGTTTGTAAGTTATATTATTTTTTGATTTTACTATAGTCTAAAATAGTAATTTAACTACAAAGTATTTTAATATTTTATTAAATTCACAATTTTATTTTGGTAAAAATTAAGCGAATTTTTTGCTGTTTTCCTATGAAAAATGCAGTGTTATCGTGTTACATCAAAACTTGCTGATCAAAACTTGAGCCAAACACGGTACGTTACCAGTATCGCTACTCTCAAACCACTGACTGTAGGTATAGACTTTTGTGAAAATATAACCTATCGCGTTCTCTAACGGATTTATATTACAATCATTTTATACCAGCTAGTCGCTACATTGTCATCATTACGCACCTTTATTGGTTTATTCTTCTTGGTTTTTAATATGTGCTTCTCTTGACGTTCAGCGTTTCAAAGTATATCGTTGTTGGTTGTCCTAGTCGTTCGAGTGACGGCCATCGACCGGGCGTCTCCGTTGGCGAATCTACCGGGCACGTTCACTTCCGGTCTCCACGGAATGATCACTTTTCTGAACGCCTTCCGGAAGTTTTCCGACAGGAACGCGTACAGTATTGGGTTTAGACACGAATTGGTGTATGCCAGACACTGGCTAACTATCTGCACGATGACGCTGATGGCTGTGATTTCGTAATAGTTTATGCTTTTTAGAACCAATATGACCTGAAACACCATCACACAGTTTTCGATTGAAATAATATCATACTCATAGGTATACCAAACAACGGTAAAACACATTGTTTTAAATAAAATATTATCGTAAATGGTAGGCTGTATGAAAGCGGATTGAGGTCATAATATTGTAACCTGTGTAATCGTTAGTACAGTATTGAAAAATGTAATAATTTTGATAAAATAATTACACTGAGCGCGTGTACAATTATAATAACAAATTATTATAACACACGCACCGGCCTGCAGGCACTAGATTAATATTTCATCGCACACTGTTTACCTAATACTATATAATATTATACTACATTAGTACTACCATCTTTTTTATAATATTAAATTTCACATAATATAATAATTAAAATGTTTAATGCATTTTTTTTGTTACAATCCATTGTACCACTGTTCAACTAAAATTTCTTATAGATGTTACCAAATGTATTATCTTTCAAAAACATCTATTTGATGTTTATAGGATATTTAAAACTATGTGAATTCTTCTTCTTAGAAATAACATCTATGCAATGTATACTACACGTTGGAGTAAGGACGCTTCTGGGATAGGTATAAAAAGTTGTATTTGTGATGTTCTATTTTGATACATCATATTTATGTTAAAATTTAGTACAATAATATAGGATTTACTGTGTAATAATGGATCACGCATGCACATGCACGCAACTTGTTTTGTTTGACTGTTAGGCCGCTCGAAAATAGCATACGACAGATGACCAAAATTCGTTATTCTTATTCTTGCGTATTCTCACTACAAACGATCGGAAGCGGACCGCGAGTGCAAAATTTAGCGTGATGAATTTATTGTAACGAAACTGTATATTTTAATTAGAAATTTGTTTTGATTTTATTCAAGTTCGCTGCATTCAATTTAATTATGGATGGAATAAATAAACAGACCAAAGGTAAGTACTTCTATATATTAAAAGCGGGAAAAAAAATATCTCAGAAGTAATTTGTATATTGATGATGGTTTTATTTGTATTATCAAACTTATAAAATACCTACCTACCTATTTAATATTTCTAACAGCTTGACCATTATTTTGTTCTATTTGAGTAGTTTTATAATAATATACAATATAAATATAAAAATACCTATTAATGTATACAATATCATTATAGGTATACAAATTAATATATTATATTAATAATCATGTTTTATTATTTGATTATATTAATATATAGGTATGCATTTCAAATAAATAGTACAGTGTATGCTAGATGTTTTTGAAGCAGAAAACAAATATTATGTTATTCCTATTAATTGAATTAAATCACCTAAAGAAGGCAATTTTACTTGCTCATGGCCTAAATGGTTCTTTTTCAAATGGTCAAGTCATTCTTTTAAACTTATATGGAAATTTGTAAATTATATTATTCTAAATTATTTTAATAATATAAAATTTACATTCATAAAAGTACTTATTGTACCTATTGTTCTTATTTAATTTTAGTTACTTATGAAGGATCTGCAGCAAAATAAATGAATTTATTTATATTATTAGCTGGAGAATCGCAAAGCGAACCTGATTCTGGAAGTTGATCAGATGATAATAATACTGGTGAGTATTGTTTTACATAATTTTGAAAAATATTTTTTTTTTTTCACGGCTCATTATATCTATTATTATTGAGTGTTTTTCAAGTTCAAATATTTTAATAACTTAGAGGTACATCTTATGTATAATGCTGTACCTAAGGTTCTAAAATTTCATAATAATATTACCAATAATAAGTTTAAAATTTTAGATATTATATTATACAGTCAAAACTGACTAATTGTGCTGTATCTATATGTTCTTTTTTTATGTACCTACCTACATTTAAATTGTTTACTGTTAGGTTCTAACAGTAAAGAACCTTTTCAGATACAAAAACAAAAAAAAATTGGATAAAATAGTAATGATCAATCCAGTTATATAGTGGATTATGAGCTAAACCACAATAGTGTATCATGTATAAAACAATTTTGTGTTATTATTTTTTTTATTCGTCTACCTGCAATCATTATTTACAATTCAATTTGAGGAAGTTCCTCAATATTTTAACTCTGATTTTAATTTATTTTTTTAAATAGACA